CTCAGGGGGCAGGTGGGGCTGGGTGGGGAAGGGAGTGGGGGGCTGGGGGAGCGGGCTTAGCTGTTGGGGTCCCCCCCATGTTCTCCTCCCCCCTCCTCCAGCCCCCCGACCCCTTACCAGCAGTGGAGCCTGGGTCCAGCCCCCTGCTGCTGGCATGCTGCCTACCCTCATGGGCAGGCAGCATGCTTCCAGGGCGAGGGCTAACCACAGAGATGCTGTGGAACCTGGAGCATCTTTATGGAGGACCTAGCCTTCTGTTGCCTTAGGGCATGGTCTGGGACTGTGTCCTGCCCTGCTTTTTTTCTGTGCGGGTTTTTTTTAACCCATATCCAGGGGGTCTAATTTTGCCCCTGCGCTGCAGACTTGCAGCACAGGGAATATTTTCTCATTCCTGCACTGCCTCTTGCAGCATTTCAAAGGGGTTTGAGCTGCTGCAAGAGGCATGCGTGGGCTCGTCTGGATGCACCCTGAGGGGTTAAATTGCAGCCTCTGGAATCCTGCCCAGCCACCATTCGCCACATTACTCTTTGGGAGACCTTGGTTCTAGGCCCACATTACCCAGAAAGGAGGTTGGCATCATTACTACCTGCCCCTGAATTGCCTATTTTCAAATATCCATTATGTAGCTGTGAATAACAAGCGAAAGGAGATGCCTACATTTTGAATTGCCCTTCTCGGACAGGCACACAAACATGAGGTTGGGCAGCACTTAAATTAAGAGGCATACTGAGATAATTTGTATCCAGAGGTTAGTCTAGTTTGTGTTTTCATTCCTGTCTGTGAGATGAGGATGGTAGTTCCAAACCTCATACAAGTTTTATAATTCTAACATTTACTAAGGATTGTGAAGCATTCACACAGAATGAGGAAGGACTTAGATAGATGAAAAATTTTGGACTGTTTACATTATGAAAGACACTACATAAGATGAGGTGCTTGCAAATCTACTCCATCATGGGTTCAGAAAGTCTGTTTGGTTTTGTTAAATTGGGGCATCACAAAATTGAATACATTATTACTATAGGTATTCTGTAAACAAGTGATGAGCAGGATTTCTGGCAAAGCTTAACCAATTACATATTTGTTTGACCACCAGCACCCCTTGAACAAATAAGACCAATTGCTTTAAATTGTATATCCATTTTGTAAGTGGATATACAATAACTTACAGCTTTTCAGACAACAAGTAGAGAGTATACTGAGCCTGTCTACAGTTCCATTTGACAGTGAAATCACTTAGTGTATGCACTCGCCTGATGCCATTTAGCACATTCATATTTATTTCTGGACTTGAGTTTTATTAAGGTGAACCTTGTACTGCTGCTACAGGACTATTACAATTTGTCTCACTATTAAATGCTTGCTGTCCTATATAATTTGGTCCAGCTTGGTGTTACTAATGGAGTTTCACCAAAGTTCCTTATATTTATAGTTTGAATATTGTCATAATATAATCATGTTTTTTCTTACAGGTCATTTATTCGAAAAGATGGTTCTTTATTTAAATTCTGTTTTATGCTTCCTGGTCATACTACTGCATCACTGGATTGGGACAACTTTTTCCTTAAATCTTGAAGATCCAAATGTGTGTAGCCATTGGGAAAGGTAATATTTGTTCTACCAGCATATATCTGACATATCCTTAGTTACTTTTGATTATTATGAATTATTTTTGTACAGTGCATTTCTAAAGCTTTAATGTATTTTATCAAATAATAAACCTGAACTTGCATTTGATAAATGGAAAACAATACAAAAGCAGGTAATATGTAGGTAAAAAGGTTACCTCATTCAACACAGAAAAGTCATCAGCTCTGGGGTAGGATACAGCAGCCATTATAACAACATCAGCAATACTACACAGCACAGCAAGAAGGAAATAAGAATATCTTATCCAATTAATTCAGCAAAGGTATATAGTTATATATGCAGAGTATAATTAACCATACTGGAGTTTGGCCAAGTATGATTATGGTGTTTCTTTCCTTTACAACATTTCTAAAATCTAAATTAAGACTTGTTGGCTTAATTTTTTGATGAGATTCAGATATTTAAAATGTACAGTTGTAAATTCATCAATTTAGTTAGTACACTTATTTATACAATATCATGATAATTGCTAGTAGAATGTTCACAATGAGTAAGAAAAGATTAAACAGTAAGCATTTGTTTTCACTTCTTTTCATGTGTGAAGATTATTATAATGAAACCATGTTTCTTAGTTTTATCATCATTTAATAATGCCTACAACTGATCAGCTAGTCCATAAGCCAGTCTAAAGGTTTTTTTGAGGACATCTCTAGGCCATGTTTTCTGTGTCAGAGTAAATTGTATTTTATATCCAAGCAGTGAGGATGTTGGCAGAGATAAATTCGTTATGATCAAACTTTTACAGGGAAAATTGGACTTCATATTTTATTTTATGGCCTGTGTATAAAAAATGGCCTCTGAAGTCCTTTTCCAACAAATTATCTGAGCTTTACGTAGATGATTTGGCGTCTCTTGCCTTTAACTTCAACATGTAGCTTGGCACGTGCAAAAACTCATATTTGCTGCTGCATATCAATTAGTTAGTTAGCTAAATGCCTGGTTGCAGTTTGTAGGACAAATCCAGAGGCAGGTCTGATATTCTATATATAGGATATATATATGGAGGACTGTGGTGAGGGCCCCAGATACCCTGAACTTGAATCCAATCTCCCAAATGAGGGCTTCCCCTTGCGGTTGGATTATGTACCCTCAAACTCTTCCAGGGAAGTGAAGCATGGCTCAGACCATATGAACCCTGCAGGCAATGGCCCACTAGGAACAATGGCTCTAAGGAGGCAAAACACAGGGCAGAAATTTATGTGCCAGACCTCACCCACACAGAAATACAGCCTGGATAGATATATATGAACTGTTTGTTTTTTTTTTTTTTTCCTACTGAGCACATGTGAGGGCATCTACAATGTACCAGGGTTGTATAAAAATGTTACGTAGAATTATTAAAGACTTAGAGAAGTCTTTAAGATAAAGAAGTACTCAAAAGATACAGAAAGCAGAAATGTAACAAATCTATCTAGTGTTTCTGAATATCAAGTTTTGTTCATAGTCACATTTTCCGGGGCCTAAAAGGAGTGAAATATATGTGTAAGTCTTTAATTAAAAGTTGCCATAGAATTTATCTTCCATTCAGAACTGATGACAGAAGTAGACAGGTGTAGGAAAGAATAGCAGGAGCTACTAACTTGTAACTGCTGTTGTCACTGGCATTCCTGCACAGCCTGATAAAGCCCTCATTACATTTGAACAGAGATGAACAGAACTGCCCCTTTGTGAAATAAAAAATATAGAGCTCCTTGCTACTTTGGGCAACCATCATAGCATTTTGTTGGAC